GGAGCTCCATATCTCGAGTTTGGGACACGATCAAGAATTTATTCAAGTTGGAACGAAGACAAGAACACGTCACAAACCCAGGGAAGGCATTGGATAAGCTTGGTTCAACGTGGAAGACCATTTTCGAGGGCCTCAAAGAAGCTTCCTCGCACTGCCAGTAATCCAAGTCCTATAAGGATTCCTAGTCCATTTCATATTACAATTGTAATTCAGCTTCCTTGTTTAATTAGGTTAATTTCAGTCCTAGTTTTCGTATGTTTGTAGTTGTTTAAGCCTATAAAATGCCTCATTTATGAATTGTAACATTCATAGTAGAATTGAGAAGAAAACCCCAAAATTCCCAACTTCTGCGTTGTGAGTTTGTTCTTGGTTTTGGTTGCGATCAAAGCTTGCTGAAATAGCCTATTAATCGAGCAAACCCACTCGATTACATCGAAGGCATCCTTATAATCTTTTTGCATTCTCCCAGGTGTGAGTTCCCATCCGTTTCCATCCATTGATCGACTCAAACTAGCTTAGTGAAGCACGTTTGAGAACCATGTTTGTGTTCTTAACCGTGATAGTGAAATCTGAGGTTTCCAAGCCTCTTGGCTGCGTGATTCTGATGCAAAACCCTGCCTAGTGTTTTATCAAGTGGTATCAGAGCCTTATGTTCAACGCAGTGGCCAGGATACCAAATACCAGGAAGGAAAGCGGCACTGCAGCAACCCACTGGACAAGGTCCAAAGGCCCTATTCCTAATACCCCTGTTGAGCTGCTCTGAGAGAGAAAGAAGAAGAAGAAGCAGGCAATTGTACTGGCGAACCAGACCTCCAAACAGACACCCAACCCGCCGTTGAGAGTAAAGAAGCTGCCATGGGAGACCCGCAGCCGGTCACGATAGCCGAGTTGGAGCAATTTTTCCAGCAACAGGTTGTTGCTCTATTTCAGACCAAACTGACTAAACAGGACGAGAAGTTTAAGGCTCTCTCGTCCAAGTTCAATGAATTGAATCAGACAGTCGCGTTGATGATCCAGCAGGGAGGACCAGCTACGACGACCGCGAGTAGAACACAGGTTCACTGCGAATCTTAGCGGACTCTGCCGGCGAATTTTAACAATTCACCACAAAACAGAGTCCCAGAAACCGATCAAGCTCTGGCCGAGCGAGTTTATGAATTGGAACAACAATTGATGACCCTGGAGGTCAATATTGACAACCATCAACTACTCAATCGACATCGAGGAGGTTTTCCGCAATCCAATCATGAAGCAGAGGAAGTTCTAGTCTCAGAATTGCGGGGAATCATATTATCAATTCCTTCCTTTCAAGGAACGATCAATGCTTCTGCCTATTTGGACCAGAAGAGAAAGATCTTGTTGTTCTTTCAGTGCAGCCATTATACCGATTCACAGAACATTGCGGTGGCCACCTACGAGTTTACGGACTATGCCGCTCAGTGGTGGGAGCAAGTTCGCCACCGGCGGCAATAGAATATGCATCCTCCCGGTGACGAGTTTGGACGAATTGAGGGGAAGATCACTACAAAGAATTGCACGAAGCCTTGCAGTCAATTCGTCAAGGAACGAGGTCGGTGGACGATTACTACAAAGAGCTTGAAATGCTCTTTCTCCGAGCTGATGTTCGAGAAGATACAGAGGCCACTATATCGAGATTTTTGCACGGCCTCAATAGAGAAATTCGGAAAGAAGTGGAGATGCGTCAATTCTTCGACTTAGAGAAATTCGTTCACCTTGCAATCAAGGTCGAGAAGCAGCTGAAGGTGGGGTCGGGACGACGATTTGCTCCTGTAGTTCCTCGTTCAAACCCGACCCATGAATCTGGTCGAACTGAGCTCCTGCTTCAAATCGGCCAATAAAGACGAAGTCAGTCGTCCAAATTGGCAATCAAGAACGGCCTGGAGGAGGACTAAGCAAGCTGGAATGCTACAAGTGCCATAGAAGAGGACACAAGTCCTTCCAATGCCCCAATTCGAAAGCATTAATTATGCGCGATGGGGAATACTACTTCGACGATGAGGAAAGGGAGAAGGAAGCAGCTAAGGAGAACACAGACGAGGAGGTGGATGAGAACATAGAAATGGAGGCTCTAGGTGGACATTTTCTCGTCAACAGAAGAGCACTCACCGTTGAGGCGGTTAGTGAAACCCAGCAGCGTGACAATTTGTTCCATACCCGCTGCCGAATTCAAGGAAAGACGGTGTCGATGGTGTTCGACGAAGGAAACTGCACTAACGTTGTCATCCTGGAGACAGTTAGGATGCTCGGATTGAGCACATTGCAGCACCACAAACCATATAGCCTCCATTGGCTTAATGATCATGGCGCAGTGAAGGTTACAAAGCAAGCATGGGTGGAGTTTGAAATCAATCAATATAAGGATCAGATTCTTTGTGATGTAGCTACCATGCACGTTGCTCATATCCTCTTGGTAAGACCGTGGCAGTACGATCGTGGAGTCACTACAAAAAATGCAGACAGTTGTGACGAAAACTTACTGACGACTTAGAAATTGCGTTGAAAAAGATGCATAATTCCGACGAACAACAATTTTCGTTCGTAATATTTGCATCACCACTGACAGAGGTGAATTTTCGTCAGTAATTGTATTGTTTTCGTAAGTAACATGTATTTAGGGCCGATTTCGATTTCACACACTCATTATTTGTGACGATTTCATTTTTCGGGTTAGAAATAATCAATATTACTGACCAATACAAAATTATCATCAGAAAAATAATTATTATTGACAAAAAGGACACAATTGTCAAAAATAATTATTAGTTTTGATGCCATAAACAATACGGCAGCACTAAATGGTGAGAAATAAGTATTTTTGACACCATTAAAAGTTCGTAAGTACTATTTGGTCAGGAAAAAAAAGTTTTTTGACGCCATAAACAGTACATCAGTATTGTTTGGTCAAAAAAATATATTTTTTGTGACAGATAGTAAAGGCGTCGGAAATTGGTGCATTACTCCGACGAACAACAATTGTGGTCATTAATATATGCCACTATACTAACATAGTTGAATTATCGTCAGTAATTGTGATTTTTGTCGTCATTAATATGCATTTTGGGGAGGATACAATTTCGCACATTTACTATTTTGTGACGATTTCGTTTTTCGCGTTAGATATACTAAATATTACTGATGAATATAAAATCATTGTTAGAAAAAATGTTTATTATTGACGGTAAAAACACGTTTTCGTCAAAAGAAATGTTTTGGAGGAAATTATGAAACATTTGGGTGCTATTGGTGAGGATAAAGATGCACATTTTCTTAAAGTAATTATAACAAGCACGGGTTTATGCAAGATTAAAAATTAAGTTATATATCCCGATCTACAAACATGAGCAAATTAGTTCTAATCTTCAAACCTGCCCTAGTCCAATTTATGTGATCATCTTTCTCATTTTGGAGAACCCCAGGATCATCAATTAAAATATTATCTTCTTGATAGGCTTCTTCTAATTCTCCTTCTCCTTCATCAGAAGGCATGTGAAACAAATTTCTTGGTCTTGTTTCAACCATTATTTCCCAATTAGGGTATCTCTCAAAGACTGCACATAATAAACTTGAATTGCTTGACTAGCTAGAACCCATATAGTCAAAATCGCGCTTTAAAGTTTAAAAACTTACACTTTTACATTTCTAGGTCACCATAACTTTTCTACGCAGAATCACGGTCATTATAAGTATTGTAGTTAAAAATGTTCTTTTAAGCTTACAAGCTTGTTGTTTCGCGCTTCTAGATCAACAAAACACTTTTTAAGTAGAAATGCGCTTTTGACTACATTGGCTAGAACGAATGGCTCATCTATTCTAAGCCTTCATGTTGTGTTGATGGTAATAGTGTCGTGTCCAGCGGTGTCATACCACTCACTCTAATTGATCAAGCAGCGAGGTTGTTAAGGAACAAAATACATGGAATTTGGCTAAGTGTTTTGGTTGTTCCAGGAGCCCAACTTGCGAGGCTCGGTTCTCTCTATTTACTCAATGAAAATGGGTGTTCATGGGCTTTTTTGAACCTTGGAGTTTGCTCTACAAGCTAGATGGTTTTGATTCTCAGGAAGAAGCCTGGAGGATCATTTTCAAAGGCTTCCAAGTTGCTATGCTGAAACCGAGAATATGCTTGTTTTTTGCTATGGCATTTGACGTGTTCAAGGTGCTATCTTTGGAGCTCCATATCTCGAGTTTGGGACACGATCAAGAATTGATTCAAGTTGGAATGAAGACAAGAATACATCACAAACATAGGGAAGGCATTGGATAAGCTTGGTTCAACGTGGAAGACCATTTTCGAGGGCCTCAAAAAAGCTTTCTCGCACTGCCAGTAATCCAAGTCCTATAAAGATTCCTAGTCCATTTCAGATTACAATTGTAATTCAGCTTTCTTATTTAATTAGGTTAATTTCAGTCCTAGTTTTTGTTTATAGTTGTTTAAACCTATAAAAGGCCTCATTCACGAATTGTAACATTCAGAGTTGAATTGGGAAGAAAACCCCAAAATTCCCAACTTGTGCGTTGTGATTTTGTTCTTGGTTTTGGTTGCGATCAAAGCTTTCTGAAGCAGCCTATTAATCGAGCAAACCCACTCTATTACATCGAAGGCATCCTTATAACGTTTGTGCATTCTCCCAGGTGTGAGAATTCCCATCTGTTTCCATCCATTGATCGACTCAAACTAGCTTAGTCAAGCACGTTTGAGAACCCTCTTTGTGTTCTTAACCGTGAGAGTGAAATTTGAGGTTTCCAAGCCTCTTGGCCGCGTGATTCTGATTCAAAACCATGCCTAGGGGTTTATCAAATCCTCTGTCCAAAGGAAACGATGATCCTCCCTCCGACATGCTTCAACTCTACGTAGGCACTCGTTGCTTGGACATCCAGCTCTCCCACGTTGATCGCGTCCCGTGCTATCTCCACTGCTTCCTCACCGATGCAACAACACTTTCGTCGGCCTCTAGAACGCCTCCGAAAACTACAAGCAGAAGATGATGAATCACCGCCTCAGCTTCGGCAAGATCTTGGACTTGAGGATGTACATGGAGGGCATAGAGATGCAAGTCGCTCCAGTGGAGAGGATTGTGTTCGACGTGCTCTACCGCGATGGAGTGAGACTCGACGAGCGCGTCAATCGTGGTCGCTGGGACCAGCTGATCCTCAATCCTAAGCAAGTTCTGTTTGGTGTTATGGACTCTCTCGTTTGCTTCCAGATTGGAGAAGCTCTTCGTGTTCGGAAGATCTCAAAATCTGATATCAAGGTCAAATCAGATTTTGAGCTGAGGATGGAGGCTGGAGTTCCGGAACTCGAGGACTTGTACGGCTACTATGTCTAGGTTGATCTCTTTTTGGATATTCAGGTTCATATGATTTCTCGTTCATTGTTTTCTTTGCTCTGTTGTTTTTCTCTGTTGGTACTCTAATCCTCAGCGTTCTCTGATTGCTTGTTTGTCTAGCTTTGATTAGTTGTTTATGATTTTCTGTCAATGCGCAACAAGTGTTCAATCATTTGACTGTATGCTGGAGGTGGGGAAAATTAATCTGCTAACTTGAAGATTAGTTAGCAGATACTAACTGATATCCAAATACAAGAACTAGTATCCAAGTACTAAAGTATCTAGAGAGCACAGACTAGTATTCAAAGTTTGCTAACTGATATCCACCATGAATCAACTATTATCTTAAATTCACAAACTAATATCTAGACAACACAGAATAGTATCCATACATCATATAATTAGTATCCAGATAACACATAAGAGTATCCATATTGAATACTAGTTGGCTGATTGTGGATATTAGTTGGTATCTGCTATCTGGATACTAGTTGGTGATGTTTTGAATACTAGTCTGTGCTATCTAGATACTCAGTAGTTCATACATTTTGGATATTAGTTAGTATATACTAACGAATCTTCAAGTTAGCAGAATAGCTAGACTGATATGAGGATCTGTTTTGCTCTGCTATGTGTCATATTAATTGTTTGTTGTCTTGTACCTTTGATTTGAGGATGGTATTCGTGTTTAGTTTTGATGTATTGTTGGTTTTGGTATCCCTATGTTAATATGAACAAAGTGTTCGATCGTTTGCCTGAATGAAAACTTGAACTGATTTTTCTTTCGACCTTCCTTTTGCATGTCGCAAAACAAAGTCCTGTTTGGCAATTTCAGCAGGCAACCATACCATCCTGTTTAGAATCAGTAGTAAATAGTGTCAACATAGTTGAACAGTATTGGAATCCAGAAATTAGTAAGATACTTACTATCGTCATTAAAAGTCATACCTGGTTCAATTTACTCAAGTCGTTTGATGTCTTGCAGCGGGTTGGTATCTGGATAATGAATGGTTGTTTGCCTCCCCGCAAATTACTATTTGCCGCCCACCATTTACAACAAAATAACAATTTTACCTTTACTTTTTGAACGGAGGTTTGCGAAATTGCTTCTTCCAACCCGCGTTGCTTCTCCCAACTCACCCCAAGCGGCAATCAAGCCACCATTGCCATCGCTTCCTCCCATCCAAACAAGCTCAATATCCATGTATGTTCGTCATTGGATTCCAGAAATCAACGTTGATCTGGCCTAGAAACACGGTCCAACGTCGACAATCAGAAGGTGAAGTGAGGTCCGAAGCCGGCAACTCGATGGTGAGGCAGGTTCTGAAGAAGGAGAACGGACGGTGAGGCATGGTTCGACGTCGTCGTTCAGACAGGGAGGAGGCACGGTCTGATGCCAACGTTCGGACGGGGTCCGACGCCCAAATTCGGATGATTGCCGTCGGCGACCTTTTTTCTTCAAAAAGATCGGACGTGGTCCAACGCCATAGATCGAACGCGGTCTGAGGTTGGAGATTGGACCGCGCTTCTCCGTTGGACGACGATGTCGTCAAGAAGGTGCGGGAGCTTCGATCGGGAGGGATCCCGGGGTTTCAATCGTCTTCGCGGGATAGATTTTGGGGTTTGGTTTGTGGTCGGCGGTGAATTGTTGTCGTGGAGGAAAGAGAGAAAGGGGTAAAGGTTGGCGTTGGCTGGAGGAAGAAGGCAATTGGCGGCGATCAATGTAGTCAAAAGCGCGATTCTACCTAAAAGCGGAAAAGGGGTAAAATCGAAAAGCGGTGAATCAAAGCGTAAAAGCGTAAGTTTTTATGCATCTTGTATAATAGTTAAAAATCTGTTAAGTACGACATATACTATGTAAAATATGAGTGCACATAATTTAGCTAAAAGAATAAATACCTGCATTTCATGTCTAAATTAAAATAAACTATTATCGAGCCATGACCACATGGCTCTTCCACTGTACTCTTCGATCCATCGATCTCCCACCACTACAACAACCATCGCCGTTTCCGCCTCCGCCTCTCTATTAATTACATCGTACAATCCAACTCTTTGTCCTAGGAACTAATAAAAACAATTGATTTTCCCTTCATTGACTAGACGACGAATCTTCATAGTTATTGATGTATAATGAAACACAACTGCTCAAATTGGTGAAGACTGAAGTGGTGATGGGCTAGGACAAGGAAGAGACAGAAACTAACTGGTTGTGTCACCGGCGAGTGACGAAAGGCGATGACGAGTCCGACGGGTGACAGGCGACCGGTGCTGCCGTGTTGGAGACTTGGAGCCTTGTAACAGCTGCAAATTCTTCGGTGGAAAGGGGCGGACTGGAGGCAACGGTTGTGAAGCCTTGTAGCAGCTACGGATTCTTTGCTAGAGCCTGGAAGGCCTGCCTCGCGACGGCATTGACAGACGATGACGAGTAATGAGGGCGGCGGCGGGGCCTGCCTCGTTGGAGTGCTGGAACCAGGAGACAACGATTAGGGATTTTGGAAGAGTTTGGCAGCCTCAGCCCGATATCCACCCTATTCCTTTTTTTTTGTCCGAAGTGCTCAAAACGGCGTTGTTTTGGTTGGTGGAGGCAGTTTTCTCCTTTGCTTGAAATCGGATAAAATCGTTCTAAAAACGCGATTTTATACGATTTCACCGATTTTAACTATTCTACTAACGCTTTTGACCGATTTTGAGTGAAAACGATTTTATTAGTGATTTGAAACGTTTTCCTACCCTAGAAACGTAAAATCGTACGATTTTACGCTTTAAAGCGCGATTTTGACTACACTGGCGGCGATTTTCTGGCAGGGGAGGTAAGCCGGCGGTGGTTTATGGGAGGATTTTGGAAATAAAGATTTGCCCCTTCCTAATTAACAATCATTCCTAATTGACAACCGTAAAACCCTTAATTAACACGTCTAATTTCATTTACTTAATTATTTCCTTTTTCTCAAAATTATCAATTATTTAATTTATTTCCTTAATTAAAATCGAAAATCCATTTCCCTAATTATCAACCGAGAATCCATTCCCTAATTAACTCCTTAATTTTGTTTTATATTTAGCAATTAAATAATTGTTTTTTAGGGAAAGTGTTTAATTAATTGAAAATTTCATAATTAGTGTTTTTAAGGAAGGTTTTCTATTTTTTTCTTTATCCGTCCGTCGGCCAACGTTGGAGGGGTCTGCCGGCTGTCATCGGACAGTATCTGCCGACCGTCATCGAACGTGGTCCGCCCATCAATGTCGGACGGGGTTTGGCACCGCCGGTGGTGGTCTGACACTGGCCGTTGTGATGGTCTGTCGGCGGCTATGATGTTCTTGCACTTGTGGTGGTCTACGATGGCGGTTGTGATGGTCTGTCGGTGGTGTGGTGGTGGAATGAGGCTGGGTGTTGTGAAGAAATGGACGAGTGATAAAAATGACATTTTCACTAAAATCATGGGCGGCAAATAGTAAATGGTCGAGCGGCAAATAACAACCCTCTTCTGGATATAAGAGTGACACTCCATCGAGAAAGAGGGTGGCTTTGGATGTATTTCTGTTTTCTCTACCCTAGGGTTTTGGAGTTTGATCCGATCGCGGCAAAGGATGTGAAGAGTCATTAGGCGGTTGGCCTTAATTGTCACTAGTTGGTTGTTAGTGGAGAGACCTAACCCTAGTTTCATTAGTTGTACGGGGTAGGGTAGCTATATATATAGCATGTTGCATGCTTACTGTGTCGTTGTTGTTGTTAGTTGTTGAGTAAATAATAAAAGTTCGGCCGAGAAGCTCTTGACGAGCTTCTTCGTGGATTAGTCTCGTTCACATCGAACGAGGATACCACATAAATTGATCGTAAACGTTCGTAGTTTCTGAGCTTCTCCGGGTTACAATTTTCTATATGGTATCAGAGCTATCACGATCGTAAACGTTCGTAGTTTCTGATGAGTGACAACGAGACGAAGGGAAGCGACTCGAGCAAGGGTTCCGAGTCCGACACGAGTCATGTCGTCCATGGTGGCGGGACTTCCAAGCTGGAAACTGATCTTACCTCGCCGTACTTCATCAGTCAGTCTGATAATCCCAATCAAGTATATGTTGGTGAGTTGTTGAATGAAGTTAATTATGCTGATTGGATTCATGACATGACGAATGCCTTGATAGCTAAGAATAAGCTAGGGTTTGTCGATGGTTCCCTAGTGATGCTTCAGGATCCGCTTGTCTTGCGGAGTTGGCGTCGTGCTGATGCCATGGTCGGGTGGCTGACCTCAGCCATTGACAAATAGGTTCGCTGCAGGGCCCGGTATGCTTAGACTTCTCGTGAAGTTTGGGTCGATTTGAAGGAGCGCTTTGTGTGGAGTAGCGCTCCGTAGGTTTACGAATTGTGTCGCCGTATTAGTCATCTTCCTCAAGAGAAGCTGTCTGTTTCTGCATTTTCTACTCAGCTCTGCAATCTTTGGGAAGAGGTTCTGACTATGGCTCCGCTTCATCCTTGTACGTGCGGTCACTGCACTTGTGGGGCGGAACGAAAGAATCAAGTACGTGAAGAGACTTTTCGGCTATATGACTTTCTTATAGGTCTCGATGATTCGTTTTCTAATGTCAAAACTCAGGTTGTTTCTATGAAGACGTTACCCACATTGTCGGAGGCATACCAACTCATTTCCAATTATGCTCATCAGCGTCGTCTTGCGACAAATAATCATCCTACTTCTAAGGCTGCTGCATTCTTGGTTTGTGATGATATGACTAATGGTGATTCTTCCTCCACAGGTCGCGGACGCCACAAATGTACCCACTGTGGCAAAGTTGGCCATCTTAAAGAGACATGCTTTGATCTTATTGGCTGGCCCGATCGTCCACCTACTTCCAAATCCAATGGCGCTGGAAGACAGAAATGGTCAGATCGGCCCAAATCTACTCCTAGGGAAGCTGCCGTTGAAGTTGGTGACAACCTTGTTGCTGGTTTGAGCATGTCGCAGCTAGCACAACTCAAGGAATTCTTGGATGATTCATCT